TTCCTGGAGTAAAGGGACATAGCAGCTTAGAGAGGAGACTCCCTATATTGTGGGAGACCATTTTTCGTCCATCTTCCTAGTTTCAGTTGAGTGCGGGGCTTTCCATCGGGCCCCCTCCTGTCGTAGAGTAAGGCCAGGTGCCATACAACTGCTCGGCCGTAGTTTACAGTTGGCTCCTTAGCCACAGGGTGACCTACCGCCATGCTTCCTGTCACCTGTCCCTCCAGTTCAGTGTCATCCTGCGGCACTAGGGAGGGATGTGAGAAGCTGACAATATGCTGGTCTTGCTTTTGCTGTCAGTGTGAGTAATGAGCTGTCTGGATCCTTGCGACTTGTTTCCTTACCAGCTGAGTCTGTGGAAGTGTGACAGGCCCACTCAGTGGCTGCGGTAGTAGATGCTTGTGGCCCTGTTAGCCACCATGCTGCACTTAGGGACTGCTTGACCACTTGACCGCTTTGGCACATAATGTGGGGCTGATAAGGTCACAACCCTTTTTTGGGAGAAGAGACAGGGGTCTTAATGTGGGCTGTCAAGTCAAGTATAGGCTAGAACTCTGGTGGACTTAGTGTCCACTAAGTGTCCACTTACTGCTGAGTTGTTCGGTGACATCAGAGACAAGTGGTCTATGACAGTTGTTCCTGGTCCCCAATGAGCTCCATTGGTGTTTAGCGTTGGAAATCAAAGAGGGTCTTACAGAGTTAAAGAAAGCATATGCTGGTTATTGCTCACCCTCCTACTGTGACTACAGATAGAACACTATCTGGTGAGTAAGGGCAGTCTGCCACTCAGAAATGGGCTGAGATCCACTCTTACAATGAGTAAGGAAGGAGGGAAATTAGAGACAGACTTGGGCAAAAGTCCAATGAAACCATAGAAGCATGGCTTATCCAACTAGCAAAGGCAAGTGCTATGCAAATTCTGATGTAAGATGACAAGGAGTGGAAGTCATTTGGGTGTTAACAACTGACCCCATGCTCCAAGCCACTTTGGCCACAACCCTTCTGGTCAGTGAAGTGGATACGGAGGAGGAAAATATACAGACAAATCAGGGCTTGTTGCAGTGGGTCTTTACAGCTATAATGAAACCATGACCTGTCCAAGATAAATTCCCGTCCTCTGATAAGCACTCTTGGACAATAATGGGAGAGTCTATCACTTCCTTTTAGTCCCCTGTGACCTCAGTCTGGATTCATATGGAGATCATGCATGCCCAGATGATGAAACAGTCACCCAAAGTCAGACTGAACATTTGCTCGACACCAGCAGCCTATGGCTGAAACCAAATCTTCTCTTGCTCTTCGGGGATGTCTCTGGGAAACTCTTCAGCTACTGCGCAATCATTTCCCCAGAATGGAAACCTTGGCAAAGGTCAAGGTAATGCACTACAGGCCAAGGTAGGGGAAGAAACCAGCCATAAGGCCGTGTGGGCTTGGCTACTATGCCAGGGATCCCGAAAGAGGAAAGTGATAGTCTTTCCATGAAGAAAAATTGTCTCTTGTTATTGGGCTCTGGGAAGGCCATGGGGCTTAAGAGATTTGGGCTTTAACTGGGTTATTTTTGGCATTTCCTGGGGGCCAAAAAGAGGAGCACCAAGAGAGCCCCAAACTCCTGTAGAAGCATGGGGTTTGTTCTGTTTACTCTTTGACCCAACACTTTCAGCGCTACCCCTGAACCCCTTCAGAGACAAACAGGACAAACTAGGTTAGAGGCCAAGGTCCCTCCATCCCCAGGGGAGACCAGAGACCCTATGCAGTGTGCTGGGAACTAACAGCAACCATGGTTGCCAAACCTCAGCCCTCCTGAACATGGTGGCACAGGCCACTGGGATACTGGGATGTGCCCAGAGGCATGGCTGAAAACTCACTCTTACTAGATTTGGAAATAGCTCTCAAATTGGACAACAGACTGAGGTAGTTTGGGGGTGGGACCTTTTAATTTTTTTTTTTTTTTTTTTTGGCCACACCGTGTGGCATGCGGGATCTTAGTTCCCCGACCAGGGATTGAACCCACGCCTCATGCAGTGGAAATGCAGAGTCCTAACCACTGGACTGCCAGGGAAGTCCCCAGGTGAGACTTTTTAAGCTAATACACACCCAAGTGGTTGTAAATAACATTGTTGAATGTATTGTGGGAATAGATGTTTGAAGTATGTTTAAGACTTCTTTTGTTTGTAAGGGATGTTCCCAATGGAGAAGTGTCATGATTAGGATGGTGGTAATTAGGACAGGGACAACTGGTCACCTCTCCTGACCTAGCCAAGTGGTTACCAAGAAGCAGAGGGCTATGGATAGGGAAGTGGGGGGGGGGTGCCACAGTCTTGATCAAGGAACTAGTGGATTTAGGGGTGCTCAAGGAAATGAGATCTTTTTTTTTAATAAAGGAGATTTAATATTTAAATTAATTTATTTATTTATTTTTGGCTGCCTTGGGTCTTTGTTGCTGCACGTGGGCTTTCTCTAGCTGCGGCGAGCAGGGCTATTCTTCGTTCTGGTGCACAGGCTTCTCATTGCGGTGGCTTCTCTTGTTGCAGAGCACGGGCTCTAGGCACGCGGGCTTCAGTAGTTGTGGCACTCGGGCTCAGTAGTTGTGACTCGCGGGCTCTAGAGCACAGGCTCAGTAGTTGTGGCGCACGGGCTTAGTTGCTTCGCAGCATGTGGGATCCTCCCGGAGCAGGGCTCAAACCCGTGTTTCCTGCATTGGCAGGTGGATTCTTATCCACTGCGCCACCAGGGAAGCCCCACAAGGCCACTTCTCTCATCCGTCTTCCTAGTTTCAGTTAAGTGTAGTCCTTTCCACCTTGCCCCACCCTCCTCCCCCCACTTAGAGTGTAGCTGCAGGTCATAAAATTGTCTGACTGCAGTTGAGTTGGCTTCTCAGCCACAGACAGACCTATCATCGTGCTGCCTGTCATCTGGTCCCTCTGGTTCAGTGCTGTCCTGTGACGAGGGAAATCCGACACCATGCTGGTCTTGCATTTGCTGTCTGTGTGAGTAATAGCCGTCTGGATCCACTGGGGCTTGTCATCCTCTTACTGGCTGGGTCTCATGGAAATGTGGTAGGCACACCTGGCAGCTGCACAGTGATTTGTACAAAAGGATTTGTGGCCTTGTTAGCTACCAGGCTGCACTTAGGGAATGCTTGACCTCTTGACAGAGGGGAACTTTTTGGAGTGATGAGAAAGTGATATTTTGATCTGAGTGGTGATTATACTTCTATATCCATTTATATACATGAGCAGCACACTTAAGACTTGTGCCATATACTGTAAGTTGTATCTCAGTTAAAAAAAAAAAAGAAAAGAACCACCAGAGAATCAATAAGAGCTCTTGAAAATAAGATTATGATTGCCAAAATGGAAAATTCAGTAGACAGGTCGGAAGATAAATTTCCCAGAACACAGGACAAAACACAGAGACACAGAGGATGACGAACCCAGCCTAGGTCTACCACCTTAGTAACAGGCATGCTAGTTGGCAAATAAACCTAGAAAAATGTTTCTGATGGTGATAAAAGAAATGGGAGTTAAAACAATGAGATGGGTTTGTAAATCTGCTTAATCAACCAAAAAGTTGCTTAAGCAATTTTCAACAGTTTGTAATTGGCGGTGGAAACTGGCACAACCCTTTTGGGGAGCAACAGAATGCCAAGTATCATCAGTCATATCAGTCCTTAGCTTTGGCCCAGGTAACCTCACCGCTGAAAGTTTGTTCTAAGGTAATAGTTTAAAAAGAAGACATGTGGAATTCATGGAGATGTTCACTAGCGTGGTTTATTATGCTGCAAAATTATAAACAACCTAGATGTCCAGTAAAAGAACAAGCAAGAAAATTATAGGCCTTACAGGAGGCAAGCACGGAAAGGGGCCGTGATTAACGCACGGTACCAACAGGAGGCAGCACCCCTTTGCCTGAGGAGCGTAACTGCATCTAATTAAGGATACCTACACCAGAACCGGGAGGGAGCTGGAAAATGTACTTCACCGTTCGGTTGGTGAAATGGAGGAGGAATGTTTCTACTACTGCTAATTAATGAGCTTACTCTAGGAAGACTCAGTAAAACCTCAAGTTGCGCGCCCCTCCTCGCGGACCCGCAGCTCTCCCAGGCCGGGTCCGGGCTGCGGCTGCGGCTGCGCACTGCGGACCCTCTGCCGGCGGCGGGGGCCACGGCGCAGACCGCACCGGAAGCGCCGGGCCGGCCCGCCGGAGCTGAGATAGGGACGCCAGTGGCCCGACTCGCCCGGCTCGGCGGGCGCACCGCAGGCGGAGGCGGGGCCGAGGCGAGGAGGCGGGGCTGGGGTGGCGCGGGGGCGCGGCGAGGCTGTCCCCGCCCCGCACGCCGCTCTGCCCGGCGGCCTCCAGCGTGGGGAACCGGCGCCGGCGGCCTGGCCTCTGTGGGAGCGATTGGTGGGCGGACGCCCGCCTTCGCCTGCGTCGCTGCCTCCGCGCGGGCCGCCCTACCCGGGGATGTGAGGGGCGCAGCTCGGCCGGCGGGGCCCGGAGCGGCGCGGAAGCCGGCCGCAGACGGTAACGCGCTGGGCGGGCGCGGGCAGGGCTCCGGTTGCCCCGGCCGAGGCCGGGCTTGAGCGGCAGGAGCGCGTGCGGCGCTTTGGAGTCGGAGGCGGCCCGAGCTCCCGCACGGGTCAGTTGCCGTTGCGGTCCCGGGGCCCGGCAGAGCCGGGGAGGGTCGAGGGCCGGGAGGGGGCTGGGCCGGCGAGCGGGCGAGTAGCCGAAGACCCGGCGGCAGGTGCCGGCCCCCCTCTGAGATCCAACTCTCTCTCCCCAGCTCCACCTACTTTGGCCTGGACTCAGCCTCCCAGGGCTAAAAATATTGCGCGGAGGCTCCTGAGCGGAATAAGATCGCGCTAAATAGGGCACAACGCTGCAGAGGCGACAGAGCTCCTCAGCCCGAGGGCTGGAGGAAGACTCCTGAGCTGCCGCTCCCGCCGCCGCTCAGCCGGCAGCTAGCTGTCTCCCTCCGCCCAGCAGGCAAGTGCGGGCCGCGGGCGGTGGCGGAGGACACTGATTCTCTGAAGTTGCCCCACAGCCGAGCAGCTGTGCCTAGCTTCTCCCTACCCAGGTTATCTTTGACATCAATCACTGGTGGCTTCCGGGGGGTCCCCTAAATGTTCTGTAAGCAGAAGCTGAAAGTTACCCACACTGCAGGAGTCAGAGCTAACAGGGAGAGGACTCCTTATGTTAGAAACATAAGCTGTGGCTTCTTTTTTTATTCATTCTGCATTTCTGAATAAGAGACCAGCTGTGCCAGTCACTGTTTCTGGTGAGTACCAGTCTGATGCAAGCGGGCAGGGAGAAAGGCTTTCTTGTTAGTCTCTTGGGGCTTTGTCTATATTCTTTAAATCAAAATAGATACCAGTATATTCCTCTGAAATCAGAGGCACATGGCCAGGGAGCTTGGACACCCACGTCCTTTAACTGGCTGTGTCTTTCTTGTAGGCAAGCTCTGTGGGCAGCTGGTTATAATCAGGAAGTTGTATGGCGAACTCAGGAGTCACAGCTGGGAAGTTTTGTTTTCCGGGCGTGTTTTTTAATAGCATCTGCCTGGGAGAGAGCATCATCTCCACCCTAGGGGCAAAGCTGCTACCAGGACCAGGCAGGACCGGCCTCACATGTGCCTCTTACTAGTGCTTTCTGTGTCTCAGCCAAGAGAATGCGATCCAGGTTGGGTCAGGATCCGTAGCCAGTGTCGGGATTCGGTGCTTAGAAGCTTTCTTTTCTTTGGTGTTCTTCGGGAGCAGCCCTCAGGAACTCCTTGGGGCATTTGGTGGAAAGGCCACCAAAGGGATTTTTGCCTGCTGGAGCTACATGTGGTGTCCCTCCGGCCAGGTGTGTGTGGAGGCCAGTATGAAGCTGAAAAAGCAGGTGACAGTGTGTGGGGCTGCCATCTTCTGTGTGGCTGTCTTCTCACTCTACCTCATGCTGGATCGAGTGCAGCATGATCCCACCCGACACCAGAACGGTGGGAACTTCCCCCGGGTGAGTCATGCCTGATTGCTGATCTCTTCATACACAAATCATCTGGGATCGGGTTATTGCCCCAGCTGGAGAGTCATGTCAGCCCAGGGCAAGAACATTCCTTCCCAACAGGCAGATTTTCTAGAAACTCAAAGCTGAAAGCAGTGATGGCAAAAAGAAAGGAGGGAGGGAAAATGGCAATATGTACTGCTGCTCTGTCCGCCTGAATTATTGGCAGACATTGCTAATGGATTGCAGCATCCCTTCCCACTAAGCCCCAGTGCAGTCCTTGTCAGCACAATGCTCCTGAGAGGCAACGCCGATTGTTGAGAATAGGCATGGGAGGTGAAATCTTTGCCATCCATAAGCTAGAGAGTGAGGGTACTCCCAACCCAAGTGGACTGCAGTCTTCAGTAGTGATTCACACCTCTTCCCTTATCTGACCAGAGCAATCCAGCCCTGTAGGCTCATGGTCCTGCCTTTGGCTGGGGAGGGAAGGATCATAGTCAGGCCTCAGGTGGTGGGCCCCATGCAGAGATCCTTCTTGTGACATAAGGAGCTGGGAGTGATTGCTTTTTGGTTTTTTTGGCAGAGTCAAATTTCTGTGCTGCAGAACCGCATTGAACAGCTGGAGCAGCTGTTGGAGGAGAATCATGAGATCATCAGCCACATCAAGGACTCTGTGCTGGAGCTGACGGCCAACGTGGAGGGCCCACCTGCCCTGCTGCCATACTATATGTCCAATGGCTCCTGGGTGGTGCCACCAGAGCCCCGACCCAGCTTCTTCTCCATCTCCCCTCAAGACTGCCAATTTGCTTTGGGGGTCCGGGGCCAGAAGCCAGAGCTGCAGGTAAGAGTCAGAGCTGGCAGGGACCCACAGTGGCCATGGCTGGGGCACTGAGCTGCTCTCCTGCCTGGCAGATGCTGACTGTATCAGAGGAGTTACCATTTGACAACGTGGATGGCGGCGTGTGGAAGCAAGGCTTTGACATCTCTTATAGCCCGCACGACTGGGACACCGAAGACCTGCAGGTGTTTGTGGTCCCTCACTCTCACAATGACCCAGGTGAGGGCCCAGCAGACCCTGGGAGCCAGGGTGTGGAGTGGGCTTTCTTTTTTACTTTTTTTAATTTTTGTTGGAGTATAGTTGATTTAAAATGTTGTATTAGTTTCTGTTATACAGCAAAGTGAATCAGTTATACGTACACACATATACATTCTCTTTTAGATTCTTTTCCCATATAGGTGTTCTCAGAGTATTGAGTAGAGTTCCGTGTGCTGTACAGCAGGTCCTTATTAGTTATCTGTTTTATATATGGTAGTGTGTATATGTCAGTCCCAATCTCCCAATTTATCCCTCCCCCCTCTCCCCCCTGGTAGCCATAAGTTTGTTTTCTATATCTGTGACTCTATTTCAGTTTTGTAAGTAAGTTCATTTGTACCATTTTTTTAGATTCCACATGTAAGTGATATCATATGGTATTTGTCTTTCTCTGTCTGACTTACTTCACTCAGTATGACAATCTCTAGGTCCATCCAAGTTGCTGCAAATGGGATTTCTTTTTATGGCTGAGTAATATTCCTTTGTATATATGTACCACATCTTCTTTATCCACTCCTCTGCTGATGGACATTTAGGTTGCTTCCATGTCTTGGCTATTGTGAATAGTGCTGCAGTGAACATTGGGGTGCATGTATCTTTTTGAATTATGGTTTTCCCCGGATATATGCCTGGGAGTGGGATTGCTGGATCATATGGTAGTTCTATATTTAGTGTGGTTTTTTTTGCGGTACGTGGGCCTCTCACTGTTGTGGCCTCTCTCGTTGTGGGGCACAGGCTCCGGGCGCGTAGGCTCAGCGGCCATGGCTCACGGGCCCAGCCGCTCCGTGGTATGTGGGATCTCCCCAGACCGGGGCATGAACCCGCGTCCCCTGCATCGGCAGGCGGACTCCCAATCACTGCGCCACCAGGGAAGCCCTATATTTAGTTTTTTAAGGAACCTCCATACTGTTCTCCATAATGGTTGTACCAGTTTACATTCCCACTAACAGTGTAGGAGAATTCCCTTTTCTCCACACTCTCTCCAGCATTTATTATTTGTAGATTTTTTTGATGATGGCCATTCTTACCGGTGTGAGGTGTTACCTCATTGTAGTTTTGATTTGCGTTTCTCTACTAATTAACGATGTCCAGCATCTTTCATGTGCTTTTGGGCCATCTGTATGTCTTCTTTGGAGAAATGGCTATTTAGGTCTTCCGCCCATTTTTTCATTGGGTTCTTTTTTGATATTGAGCTCCATGAGCTGTTTGTATATTTTGGAGATTAATCCTTTGTCCGTTGCTTCATTTGCAAATATTTTCTCCCATTCTGAGGGTTGTCTTTTCGTCTTGTTTATGGTTTCCTTTGCTGTGCAAAAGCTTTTAAGTTTAATTAGGTCCCATTTGTTTATTTTTACTTTCATTACTCTAAGAGGTGGATCAAAAAAGATACTGTTGTGATTTATGTCAGAGTGTTCTGCCTATGTTTTACTCTAAGAGTTTTATAGTATCCAGCCTTACATTTAGGTCTTTAATCCATTTTGAGTTTATTTTTGTGTATGGTATTAGAGAGTGTTTTAATTTCATTCTTTTACATGTAGTTGTCCAGTTTTCCCAGCACCACTTATTGAAGAGACTGTCTTTTCTCCATTGTATATTCTTGCTTCCTTTGTCATAGATTAGTTGACCATAGGTACATGGGTTTATCTTCGGACTTTCTATCCTGTTTTATTGATCTATATTTCTGGTTTTGTGCCAGTGCCATACTGTTTTGATTACTGTAGCTTGTAATATAGTCAGAAGTCAGGGAGCCCGATTCCTCCAGGTCTGTTTTTCTTAAGATTGCTTTGTCTGGGGTGGGCTTCCTGATGGCAAAGGTAAGGGAGGGACGGTTGAAGAAGATGGTGGCATCCTCAGGGGACCCTATGTTGGCTTCCCAGGCTGGCTCAAGACCTTTGACAAGTACTACACAGAGCAGACACAGCACATTCTCAACAACATGGTGTCCAAGCTGCAAGAGGACCCCCGGCGGCGCTTCATCTGGGCGGAAGTCTCCTTCTTCGCCAAGTGGTGGGACAACATCAATGCCCAAAAGAGAGCAGCAGTCCGAAGGCCAGTGCCAGTTGGGGAGGCAGGAGGGCTATTCTCTGGGCCCTAGGATGGGTGTGAAGTCCTCTCCTGGAGCTGCAGGTGCCAAGGTGTCAGGGAGAGGCAGGGGGAACCTTGGCAGAGATGAGGAGTGATGGTAGAGGGGCCAGGAATGAGAAGGAAAGAACTGATTTGAGGGTCACTAGTGTTAGGAGAAATCAAAGTAGTGTGAGCACAGGGAAGAGAAAGCATAGGGCCTGGCCTCTGGAAGCGCAGACAGAGATCCAGGAATAAGCAGAGCCAGGACAGCATGGAGGTTGGCTGGAGAGAGAGGAGGGCGCATGTCTGTTGTCTTGGTCCTGGGTTTGGGTGAACTGGCTCAGTGAGGCCAGTACACACAGGTCCCGGCATCTGGTTGGCAGGACTGAGCAGAGGGTCTCTGCCCCAGGCTGAGTGTGAGTCCTTAACTCCAGGCTCGTGGGAAACGGGCAGCTGGAAATTGCAACAGGAGGCTGGGTAATGCCGGATGAGGCCAACTCCCACTACTTTGCATTGATTGACCAGCTCATTGAGGGACACCAGTGGCTGGAGAAAAACCTCGGTGAGTCCGGGCTCAGCAGTGGGAGTCTGTCCCCATAGCTGGGCCCAGAGGACAGCAGGGGGCTCTAAGGTGCAAGGATTGGCAGGGAGTGCTTCTTTTCTAGGCTAGTTCCACCAGCGTGGGTGTGGTGTGATGGCAAGACGGGATCTGGGGCCCCTGTGCCGGGAGACCAGGCCCTGAGGCATTCAGGCCTCTGGCTTCCATGCCCCTGCCCAGGTGCAACCCCGCGCTCAGGCTGGGCAGTGGACCCCTTTGGATACAGCCCCACCATGCCTTACCTGCTGCGCCGTGCCAACCTGACCAGCATGCTGATTCAGAGGGTACATTATGCTATCAAGAAGCACTTTGCTGCCACCCACAGCCTGGAGTTCATGTGGAGGCAGACCTGGGGTAAGGCCAGGTTGGGTGGAGGGGGGTCACAGCAGTGGTTCCCACTGGGAAAGGGCAGGGATATCAGAAATAAGACCCATCTGTCCTTTAGAGCAGACCAACAAACACTGGTGCAGACCGTCAGAAGCTCTCTCCTTCAGGTTAGGTGGGGATCACATTGATCTCTGGCCTCTGTGGAGCCTGCTGTCTGTCTCCTGGAGGAGCTGTGGGCTCTAGAGCCCTCCCTGTGTCCTGACCATTGGCCTGCATGTCCTCTGCAGCCTTAAGTCTAGTTCACGCCTTTAGCTGGAGCAGATCCCCTCCCACCCCCGGCATCCCTGTGCCCAGCTCCAGGGGCTGACTGCTTGGTGTGTTTTCTATAGATTCGGACTCCAGCACAGACATCTTCTGCCACATGATGCCTTTCTACAGCTATGACGTCCCCCATACATGTGGCCCGGATCCCAAGATCTGCTGCCAGTTTGATTTCAAGCGCTTGCCCGGGGGGCGCATCAACTGCCCTTGGAAGGTGCCACCCCGGGCTATCACAGAGACAAATGTCGCCGAGAGGTACTTGCTCCCAGACCTGGACTAGGTGTGGTGGTGTCATTTTCACTCTGCAGAGGAGTCAGGAGACCTGGCTTCTGGTCTGGACTCTGCTGCACGGGGGCTTCGGGTTCCACATTCATAAAATGGAGGTGGGCTCGGTTGGTGAGTTCAGGCCCACAGCCCTTGCAGTGACAGTTCCTTTACTGTGTTTTCCTGGAAAACTAGAGTGAGTGGCTCTAAGGAACCACCTTTTCCAGAATGGTTTTATTTTCCCAAATGAGTATGTTTTCCAGTGTCCTAACAAACTGTCGGAGCCAGTGGACTGACTGAGGCAAGTAATTCTCAGATTAGATCCAGTGCCTTACAACCTTCAGTCTGATATGCCTACATTAAGCTCAGGCCTCCTGCCTTGGCTTGAAGTCACCCGGGATCCTCAGTGCTCTGTGCACCCAGAATCCCATTCAGATGCACATTCTGTCCCGCCCAACAGCCTCCAGCCTCTGAGAAAACAGACCTGTTCCCTTTGAGAGAATCCTTAGGGACCCCAAAAGATGTTGCTGAAATTAGCTCCCCTGGGAAAAGGTGGATTAAGAGAGAGCTAAACAATTATTTAGCCAGAACTGGACTGGCCTTAAGAATATAACAAGTTGAACGGGTTTTCATGTTGCAATCCTCCGATTTCCATGATGTCCAAGAGGTGAAACATGTGACCAGAAGGAAAAGAAAGTGGTCTTTTGTTTCCAGAATCCAGAAATCTAAATGCTGATTCCAAGCAAGAATCTAGGGCTTTTAAGGCATGCTTTTTCTGAAAGCAGCATCTGTGATCTACAGATGCCAGGCCAGGTTTACAGAGAGCAAGTCATGGGAGATAACCTCATTTTCTCCTTTAAATTTATTTATTTTATTTTTGGCTGTGTTGGGTCTTCCGTGCTGTGCGCGGGCTTTTCTCTGGTTGTGGTGAGCAGGGGCTACTCTTCGTTGCGGTGCACGGGCTTTTCACTGCGGTGGCTTCTCTTGTCACAGAGCACGGGCTCTAGGTGCGCAGGCTTCAGTAGTTGTGGCACGGGGGCTCAGTAGTTGTGGCTCACGGGCTCTAGAGCACAGGCTCAGTAGTTGTGGCGCACGGGCTTAGTTGCTCCGCGGCATGTGGGATCTTCCCGGACCAGGGATTGAACCCGTGTTCCCTGCATTGGTAGGCGGATTCTTAACCACTGCGCCACCAGGGAAGCTCTCGTTTTCTCCTTTAAAGGGCTTATAAGGATGATAAGTTAGGGGAAGGTGGTATTTGAGAAGTCCTTTCTTGAGAGCAAAATGGAACAGAACAAGCTGCACTAGCATGGCTAAGTACATTAGTGGCTGGTTGAACTGTAACACCCATAACATGCCAATTACCAGGCTGGTCTAAAAAGAGAAAAAGGCTTTAATGCCACAGGTCTCTGTTTTTCTGTTGATTACATTAATGACTTGGATGAAAAAGGAAATAATAAATGTTTATGTAGAACAGTGCCAGGCACTGTTCTAAGTGCTTAACAAATATTAATTCACTCAGTTCATTGTAATTCTCATAATACTATGGCAGTAGGTACTGATGTTTTTCTCATTTTATAGAAACTGAGGCCCAGAGAGGTTAAGTAAGTTGTCCAAGGTCACACAGCTAGTGCATACAGTGCTAGTGTTGGTGTAGTCCAGTCCCCAAGTCCAGGCTCTTCAGTCTAGGGCTGTGCTGCATCACTAACTGGTGGCAAACAAAGCTGGAGTGTCAGAGTCAGGATCCCAAAAGATCTCAGTAGGTTGGGACGTGGGTTGAACCTAACCAGATAAGATTAGATAAATGTAAGGTTCTACCCTTAGCTTCAGCAGACAGAATAGGAAAGTTCAGGATGAGAAAATATCTTGCTGGGCCGCATGCACAGAAAACATGATCACTGATGTCAGCATGGTGGGGTGACAGTGGGGGCCGCCAGACATGCCTGTATAAGCACACACCGCTCCCACGGCAGCTCTGGCCAGACTAGGGGGTGTGGCCTGCCTCCCCCAAACTCCCATATTCAGCGCTGGGCCCCGCACTCTGGGATCCTGGCAGACGGGCTACTCAAGAGAACTGCTGGTGACTGGATTCTCAGCTGCTATGTAGGGACCAAATAGGGGGGCTGGGATTGCAGAGGCTGATGAGAAAGCGCAGGGGAATGCTTACACATCTTGGATATGTCTGAGAGACCATCATGGGGAAGGAGGACTGGTTTGTTCTTTGTGGTATCCAAGGGCAGAACTGGGGCCAGGGAATTGAAGCCATGCATCAGGAAGAACTCTCTAGTTGTTTGGAGAACACTGGGCTCCCTGGGACTGGGTTTCACCCCATGAGGTATCTACCCCCAAGCTGAGTGACTCTGTGACGAGGATGTATCAGAGGGCTCCTCTCAGGCTGGCTCTGCTGAGGATCCTATAATGTGAGACTCCATGTGGGGCCCGTCCCCCTTCCCACCTACAGGGCAGGCCTGCTCCTGGACCAGTACAGGAAGAAGTCCCGGCTCTTCCGAAGCAACGTCCTCCTGGTGCCGCTGGGCGATGACTTCCGATATGACAAGCCCCAGGAGTGGGATGCCCAGTTCTTCAACTACCAGCGGCTCTTCGACTTCCTTAACAGCAAGCCTGATCTCCACGTGCAGGTGTGAAGGGACACTCACCGGGGAGGGGGCCTCGGTGGTGCTGCAGCCCAGCCCTTCCTGTGAGGTTTCATGCTCCCCGCTACTGCTCCAAAGCAGGGGTTCATTCCCAACTCTGGGCATGGTTTCCCTTTTATGTCACAGTTCTTTCCCAGGTTCCTCAGCTTCTTGAGGCCCAGAAGGTAGGACATGGTGACTACTCTCTGCATAGGCAAACATCCTTGCCCCTAGCCTCCACTGCAGTACTGGGGGGCCGCAATTCCCAGAAGACTCTGGAACTGATGGAAGCGGTTTTTGGTGGTCCCCACAGGCCCAGTTTGGCACCCTCTCCGACTATTTTGATGCTCTATACAAGAGGACAGGGGTGGAGCCAGGGGCCCAGCCTCCAGGGTTTCCTGTGCTGAGCGGGGATTTCTTCTCCTACGCGGACCGGGAGGACCATTACTGGACAGGCTATTACACTTCGCGGCCTTTCTACAAGAGCTTGGACCGTGTCCTGGAAGCGCACCTGCGGTGAGACCTGCCCCCCCTTCCAGGCTGGAGGGATAGAGTAAGCCTTTGAGGTTTAAGGAGGGGCTGGATTGGCTCAGAAGGGACTAGAAGGGCATGGAGACCAAGACAAGTGGAGAAGGGGTGAAAGGAAGAGGAGTGGGCCTTGCAGAGTGAGGGTGGGCCCTAGGGAGCTGGATGGCAGGAGGCTGACTTCTCTCTCTGGGCAGGGGGGCAGAGATTCTGTACAGCCTGGCTGTGGCTCATGCCCGGCGCTCTGGAGTGGCCAGCCAGTACCCGCTCTCAAACTTCGCCCTTCTGACGGAAGCTCGGCGCACACTGGGACTCTTCCAGCACCACGACGCTATCACTGGCACTGCCAAGGAGGCAGTTGTTGTGGACTATGGGATCAGGTGGGAGCCCTCTCCTCTTCCCCATCAGCTCCATGCCTTGACCCGCTGTCCCAAAAGGGAGGATGCACCGGGCAGTCAGTGGGCAGGCCTGCCAAGGGCTCGCCCTGTTGGCAGGTGGACAGTGTCTCGGTGGTCACCTCTCCCATGGTCCCTCTCCTGCCCGCCCTCCCAGGCTTCTGCGCTCCCTTGTCAACCTGAAGCAGGTGATCATTAACGCAGCTCACTATCTGGTGCTGGGGGACAAGAAAAGCTACCGCTTTGACCCTGAGTCACCCTTCCTGCAAATGGTGAGCCCCGCTCCTGCACCTGCTCAGGGGGACCCTCTGGTGTGCAGTCCTGTGCCGAGAACTGTGGTGCAAGGGCATTGTCCTTCTTTTCCTTCCCAGTCCTGGAGTGAAAGCTCTGTGCCTGGCGCAGCTGCTGGTCCCCACCTGGGACACGTTTGGGGGGTGGGGGGAGGCGAGACTCCGAGTCAGGCCAAGCCCCATGATAGTTCTTTCTTCCCACCCACTTCATTCCAGGATGACACCCGCTTAAATCACGATGCCCTACCAGAGCGCACAGTGATCCAGCTGGATTCCTCACCCAGGTCAGCCGGGCTGGGCCAGGCGCAGAGGCAAAGCCCCTTCCTGGCTCTGGGCACCCTCCCACCCCCACCCTGCCGAACCACTGAGGGATTCTTGGCCTGGCCACTCTTCCTGCTTCCACTGCCCCCAGAGCAGTGGCCTCCTGGATGAGCCTACCTTCTGCTCACAGATACGTGGTGCTGTTCAACCCACTGGAGCAGGAGCGGCTCAGCGTGGTGTCCCTTCTGGTCAGCTCACCCCGGGTGCGGGTCCTTACAGAGGAGGGTCAGCCCCTGGCTGTGCAGGTCAGCGCGCACTGGAGCTCTGCCACTGACATGGTCCCTGACGTCTACCAGGTGAGGCGGGGGCTTGGCAGGTGGGGCCCGGCCTCGGCCCTCTGTGCTGATCCTTGGCCTCTCCCCGGACCCTCACACTGCCCACGGACACTGGCTTCCCACCCTCCTGCTTGCAGCCCTCTTACTCCCCAGGTTGGGGACCAGAGTCTTGGGGAGGGGGGTTGCCCAGAGGACAGTCACTCCTGGGCTTTGAGTCTGTCCTTGAAAGGAAGGAGAAGTTTCGTATAGTATGATAACAGTAAAAATGGCAGTTATGCTGCCCCATCGTTTGTTCATTCAACAAATATTTATTGAAAGCTTAACGTGTGTTTACCATCTCATAGTTTTCCAAATATCATTTGAGACTCATGAAAGTCTGACGAGGGGCAAGTAACATCACCTGTGCTTTGGGCGGAGGGCACCGAGGCCCCAGTGGGTGCAGGGACTTGCTCAGCCTCTCAGGGCCAGAACCCCAGACCTGCATCCAAGACTGACACCCATGCCGTGGCCCACGCTTCCTCACCCTTCCCGTGCCCGCAGGTGTCTGTGCCCGTCCGCCTGCCGGCTCTGGGCCTGGGCGTGCTGCAGCTGCAGCTGGGTCTGGACGGGCCCCGCACCCTGCCCTCCTCCGTGCGCGTCTACCTGCATGGGCGGCAGCTGTCCGTCAGCAGGCACGAGGCGTTCCCTCTACGCGTCATTGACTCTGGCACCAGTGACTTTGCCCTCAGCAACCGCTATATGCAGGTCTGGTTCTCAGGCCTCACCGGGCTCCTCAAGGTAAAGGGCCAGGGTGTGGGAGCCGGAGGAGGGCGCGCATGTCGGGGGGGTCGTGCAAGCTGCCTCCGGACCATGAGTGTGCTGCCACCTGACTAGTGGTGGACCCTGGAGCAGGCCGTCCGGGCCCCGAGCTGACAGCACAGGGAAGCAGGGCTGGGCTCCCTCCCGGGGGCGGGCCTGACACGTGGGCGTGGGGCCAGGGGTCAGGGCTGTGTCTCTCGGCAGAGCATCCGAAGGGTGGACGAGGAGCAGGAGCAGCGGGTGGGCATGGAGTTCCTCATCTATGGCACCCGCTCGTCCAAAGACAAGAGTGGAGCCTACCTCTTCCTGCCCGATGGCGAGGCCAAGGTAACTAGAGACACCTTGCAAACCCCAGCAGGCCCTGGAGGCCTCAGGAGCAGAGGGCAGGAAGAAGGGCACGGGCCTTCGTCCAGGGCGACCCTGCCTGCCAGGGTGCCTCGCCTGCACTGCCCCTGCGGGGGGTGGGAGACTGAGGAACGTTGCCTGGGAGCCTGGGCCTGGCTTGGCCAGGGGTCTCAGCCCAGAGCCTGCTGGGAACAAGTCCTCCTGCCTGACTGCGGGCCAGCATCTCCCTGCTTTGCTCTCTGTGCTGTGGGTTCAGCAGCCACCTGCTCTTTCCCCAGCCCTACGTCCCCAAGGACCCTCCTGTGCTGCGCATCACGGAAGGCCCTTTCTTCTCAGAGGTGGTGGCCTACTATGAGCACGTTCACCAGGTAGTCCGGCTTTATAACCTGCCAGGTGAGCCCTGCAGACAAGGAAGGTAGGGAAGGAGGTGCGGGCTCCGTGGGCTGTGATGTGCTCTTTCTTCTGCCTGTTGTCTAGTCATGCATCTGTTCCCAACAGACGTATCATTTGAGATGGGTCTGATTCTTAACTCTCTTGGAGTAGAGCTTGGCCAGAAATGCTGGGAATTGCCTGGGGCTTGGGCACAGCCTCTCCCAGCCCAGTCTCTCAGGCTGTGGCTCACGCCGCTCAGCCTCTCCCTTTGTCCTGTGCCCAGGGGTGGAGGGGCTGTCTCTGGACGTGTCATCCCTGGTGGACATCCGGGACTGCATCAACAAGGAGCTGGCCCTGCGCCTCCACACAGACATTGACAGCCAGGGCACCTTCTTCACGGACCTCAATGGCTTTCAGGTGATGCCTCAGGCCTGGGGCCCCAGAGACCCCATGGAACAGAACTTGGACTGTGTTTACTGCCCGCATCACAGGCCCTGGCAGGTGATCTGCTCAGACAGAGCAGGAGGAATCGGAGGCAAGACTGATCGGGGCCCAAATGGTGCCCGGATTCTCTTGATCTGCTGGCCTTGCCCCCGCAGGTGCAGCCCCGGCGGTATCGGAAGAAGCTGCCCCTGCAGGCCAACTTCTACCCCATGCCGGTCATGGCCTGCCTCCAGGACGCACAGAGCCGCCTCACGCTGCACGCTGCCCAGGCCCTGGGCGTCTCCAGCCTCCATGATGGTGAGGGGAGCAGGCGCTGTTCGGGGGGAGAGGGCAAGATCGTGAAGCCCATCCCCGCCACCGAGGCCCGTCCTCTCTGTGGGCCTCTCCATCTTTCCTGTCCATCAGTCACACACCAGCGGGAGGTGAAAGGAAGGCAGACACATGCCGTCACCCTCTCCCCTGGTGGAGGCAGCTGTGGAGGTGACTGGGGGTGGGTGCCCTGTTGGATCCCCTCAAGAAGCATCAGGGTATTGAAGCGTGATTCTTAGCTGAGGTGTGCAGCCAACTTCTCGTGACAGGGATGGCAGTAGGGACAGTTGGAAAAGTGTAGTCAGTGTTATAATGAAATATTTAGCAAAGGAGAAAGATACGTTCTGTCTTCCTACCAATGGTCATTAAAAGAGGGAATGACAAAAAAAAAAAGAGAGAATGACATTCTTAAGAATCAAAACGAGGCTTCCCTGGTGGTGCAGTGGTTAAGAATCCGCCTGCCAATGCAGGGGACACGGGTTCGAGCCCCGGTCTGGGAAGATCCCACATGCCGCGGAGCAGCTAAGCCCGTGTGCCACAACTGCTGAGCCTGTGCTCTAGAGCCTGTGAGCCACGGCTACTGAGCCTGTGCTCTAGATCCCGTGAGCCACAACTACTGAAGCCTGTGTGCCACAACTACTGAAGCCCACGTGCCTGGAGCCCGTGCTCCCAACAAGAGAAGCCACCGCAATGAGAAGCCCGCGCACCGCAACAAAGAGTAGCCCCCACTCGATGCAACTAGAGAAAACCCATGCGCAGTAACGAACACCCAACGCAGCCAAACATAAATAAATTAAATAAATAAATTAAAAAAAAAAAAGAATCAAAACGAGGACATGAGGAGACTGACCTGGAGCTGGTCACACTGGGCCAGCCCAGGTGGCTCCCATAGCCTCAGGGTAAAGTGAACAGTTTGCACTTTGGCCTCTGAGGCCTTCAGGTCGTCTGTCCTTGGGGCAGAGCCTTTGTGCAGGCCTGAGCCAAGAGTGCCCAGTCTAGGCTCTGCGGGGCCGGTGGTGAGCACAGTGGGGACCTGACTCCCTGCTGGAAGGCATGAGGCTCTGCTGCCCCTTTGCCCAGTATCACTCTGGTTGTAAAACTCTTAACTCAGCCCAGCATCCTCCCTTGGTCTCTGCCCTTCTGGAAAACAGTGCGCTAACAGGCGATTATTTTACATGCAAGGGGTCCACTTTAGGATTTGGGGTGCCTTTCTGTGGTTGCTCAGGGTAAAGACTGAGGAACTACGTAAGTCAGAATCGGCTGGGGTGATGGGAGTGCAGATAGAGCCGTCTGTATGGGCTTCTCTCAAGAGATTCTTGAAAAAAACAGATGCTGGGAAAAATCCTCATTCCAACATATGTCAGCTTTGAGTGAGTCCCTTCCCCAGGCATATTTTTATTTTATTTTATTTTTTAATTTGGCTGCGTTGGGTCTTCGTTGCTGCACACGGGCTTTCTCTAGCCGGGGCGAGTGGGGGCTACTCTTCGTCGCGGTGCACGGGCTTCTTATTGGGTGGCTTCTCTTGTTGCAGAGCATGGGCTCTAGGCATTGCCAGTTTCAGTAGTTGTGGCACACGGGCTCAGTAGCCCCGCAGCCTGTGGGATCTTCCTGGACCAGGGCTCAAACCCGTGTCCCCTGCATTGGCAGGCAGATTCTTAACCACTGTGCCATGAGGAATGTCCCCTCAGACATATTTTTAAAAGAAAGGAAAGGTTGGGGACTTCCCTGGAGGTCCAGTGGTTAAGACTCCGTGCTTCCAATGCAGGGGGCGTGGGTTCAATTCCTGGTGGGGGAACTAAGATCCCACATGCTGTGTGCGGTGCAGCCAAAAACAAAAAAAGCAAAGGATCCTCTGCTATCTCTTGTCTGCAGGGCAACCCCAAATAACACCTAATCTGAGCCTCTGCCTGATATGCCATCTGGCTGTCCTCTTGCTCCCTCCTTTTGACAGATGCGGCAGGCAGACCTGGAGTCTGCCCCCCACGTAGAACCAGGGCCGGAAGCGTGTGTTCCAGTCACAACAAAATCCGCCCCACCTGAGAAAACCTGCCCCGGGTCAGGGCCTCTGCAGCAGCTGCTGATGGCTGTTGTGTTTGCTGTTCACTTTGTTGTATGTGGCCAGCCTAGAGACGGTTCTCTGCCTGGGCACCCGGGCCAGCCCCCGCTCCTGAGCCACGGAGCACAGGCAGTGAACTGCCAGGGTCACAGTCCTTCACTCAGCCCCTTCCAGCTCTAGGTTCCATGGCGGCTTTGTGCCCTGAGTGACTCAGCTTCCAGCCAGTTCCCTGGGCTCTTCCCTCGGGGCTTTGGTGGGCTGCTGCTTCCAGAGGTCGGTGTCTGCTTGGGGGTGAGACAGGCAGGCTGGGGGCTCACAGCTAACTTCCCTAGGCCAGCTGGAGGTGATCTTGGACCGGCGACTAATGCAGGACGACAACCGAGGCCTGGGCCAAGGGCTCAAGGACAACAAGAGAACCTGCAACCATTTCCGTCTCCTGTTGGAACGGCGAACCCTGGGCAGGGAGGTAAGTTCTGGGCCTCCCCCTAGGGAGCCAGGTCAGGCTAGGCCCCGTGGGTGGCCCTGGGGTTCCAGCCTAGGGCTTGGGGAGCGTATTAGAGGTGGGCAAGGGTAGCAAGAGTAGGGCCTGATTCCCGGGTTGGCGGGGAAGCGAGTCTGATGCTTTGCTGCTCCATCTCATGCAGCCTGGCACCTCCCTCTCCACGGCACCCTGTCGCCTGTGCCCTCCTTGTGCTCATCTCCCACCTTCCCACCCCCGCCCCTGTGTCCTCTAACCTGCTCTGCTCCTGCCCTGCTCATCTCATGGCTTTCTTTGCCCCCACCAGCCTGGCTTTTTCTCCAAACTGGCAGCCATGTTTAGGGGCTTGATCTTTCACAGCAGCAGGAGCGGGCACCGAGAGGTAAGGGCCAGCGATGGGGTGTTGAACTAGTGTTAGTTATTTGTAGCTGGAGTTGGAGCTGGCGGATGGCAGAGCCCGCTGCTCCATCTCCCTGTCTGGGGCTCAGTCACTCACTCATCAAATAGCTGCTGGGCACCCGCTATGCTGTAAGGACTGAGAGGGCCGCAAATGCATAAGATACTGCCTCAGAGCTCTAGGAATTGACTCGTGAGTATGGGTGGGGGCCAAGTTATGTGTGTGAAAATGCAAGGTCGAAAAGAGGTATGTCCACTGGTCCTGAGGAGTGAGAGAACATAGTGGGCCAAGGGGATCAAGGACAGCTTCCTGGAGGAGATGTCATCCACGCACGTCTTTGATGAATGGGGGTCTGCCCTACACACTTGAACCGAGGCACAGGGTGGGAGGCAGGAAGGAACGTGAATGGGAAGAGCCGTGAGTTCACTCAGCTAGACCAGAGCCGCCTGTGCAGTGTGACAGCCACTAGCCACCTGTGGCCACTTAAACGTATTAAGACAAAACACAATAACCAATTTGATTCTTCATTCAAACTGGCCACATTTCAAGTGGCTCAGTGGCCACAAGTGGTTAGTAGCTGCTGTGCTAGTGCAGATATAGCATATTTCCCTGATTGCAGAAAGTTCTAGTGGCCAGTGCTGGGCTGCCATGGGGGTAGGTCGGGGCAGACTGTAGTGGGCCTTCAGTGCCTGGCGAAGAGTCTGGACTTCCTCCTGGAGGCCAGTGAGGGATCTGAGCTGGGAGAACACTGTTGGGACTTTGCCCTAAGCATGTCACTCCCACAGCAGGGACTCAGGGGGATCTTCAGGGAGACCGGAGGCAGGGGTGACAGCTTAAAGGCTGTTCAAGCAGGACATTTTGGTGGCTTGAAATGAGCCACGGGAGGGAGAAGCCGGCGATGGGCGTGAGGACGCTGCCGAGGTGGGAACGGAGATCGTGGCTGAGGGAAGTGCGAGATTCTGGACAGTAGGAAGGCGAGTGGTGCTAAGAGCAGAAATCCAGAATATGGAAGAGTAGCCGCTGTGGAGGAAAGTCCAGCTTAGGCCTGTGAGTGTGACGTCTAGGTCAGCCATCTAAGGAGTAGTCCTCAGTCAGCACAGCTGTGGGGACTGCCGGGCCCGAGCATCAGGGCTGGTGCTGTGGATACGGGGTCGAGCTTGAAGCTGCAGGGTTGCCCCAGAGACTTTCTCCATCAGAGGCCCATCCTCCATGGTGAAGCATCCGTCTGTCTGTCTTCCCTTCTTCTCACTGCACTGAGAATCTCTATGTGACAGGAGATGTTGCTGATGGGAGTGTGTGACTCACGATGGTGTTGTGGGAGCAGAAAGCCTCCATAGTTAGAGGAGCGCTGGCCTGGTGAGGTAGCCCTTCCTAAGCTGTGTGAGGTGGGAAGTGACCGCATTTGAAGAGTCCTGGAGTCAGGCACCCCTTGTATCCAGACACATCAGGGAAGCTCTCTCCAAAGAAACCGACCTGGACGTGCTGTTACCCTCCTGCTGCCCCCGCTCCACTTCCTCACCCACGTCTCGGGCCAATCTTCCAGGTCCAAGATGGCCCCTCTACCAGCTACCCGTCCCTCCTCAGTCACCTGACTTCCATGTACCTGAACACCCCTGTGCTCGCCCTGCCCGTGGCCAAGAGGCAGCCCCCAGGCCCTGCTCTGTGCTCATTTCGTCCTCTGGCCTCCTCTCTGCCCTGTGACTTCCACCTGCTCAACCTGCGGACGCTCCAGGCAGAGGTGAGTGTCCCGCTCAGTGCTGACCCTTGGGGCGAACCCTGCCCTCCTCGCCCAGACTCCTCCCCGTCCCAGCCCTGCCTGCCGGGCAGAGGCGCTGCTACACCTGTGAGCCCTGCAGAGACCCCCCCCTCTCCCCGCTGCCCTGTGGTCTGTTACCAGGATGATAGCTTGCCCTCAGCCGAAACTGCGCTCCTCTTACACCGCAAGGGTTTTGACTGTGGCCTCGAGGCCAAGAACTTGGGCTTCAACTGCACCACAAGCCAAGGCAAGGTGAGCAGGGCCCAGGTGCGGGAAGGGAGAGGAGGGCAGGGAAACAGAGCACTGGGGATGGCAAGCTAAGAGCTTGGTGAGGCGGCAGTGAGGCTGGGCAGCAAGGGGGGAGGTGGCATGGTTATTCTGGGGCTTTACGGAGAGCAAGGGAGAAGCTGTTGACATGTGTTTTCAAAGCCTCTGAGGCCTGGCAGCGGCCAGTTCCAGACAAGGTGTCCAGGTGGAGAACTTCTGTTTCATGTGTATGGACCTCTATCAAACAAATGGAAACACCAGGAGTTAAAAACTAAAAGCCATCATACTCTGTTCATTGTTTAAGCCAGCAAAGGCTGGCACTGATAAATGCCTCCGTGTGCTGGGCACCAGTGATTCAGAAGTGAATCAAGACATGATCTCTGCTGGGAGTTCCCTGGCGGTCCAGTGGTTAGGACTCAGTGATTTCACTGCCTTGGGCCAGGTTCAATCCCTGGTCGGGGAACTAGGATCCCGTAAACCGCATGGCACGGCCAAAAAAAAAAAAAAGACATGGTCCCTCTCCTCAAAGAGCTCACAGCTCAGTGCAGCAGTTCCTACCCTAAGGTCTGTGGACAGCCTTCAAGGTTGCACAGGCTCACCTGTGTATGTAGGCACCTTGCTGCGGAGAGGCCCATAGCTTCTGTGAGATTCATACAAGTTATATAGAGGAAGAGCAGCAGCATCTGGTGTGTCAGCTCCCAGCACTGCCCTGCGCCTTCTCTCCTCCCCACAGGTGGCCCTGGGGAGCCTCTTCCGTGGCTTGGATGTGGTTTTCCTGCAGCCAACCTCCTTGACATTGCTGTACCCCCTGGCCTCGCCCTCCAACAGCACTGACATCTATTTGGAGCCCATGGAGATCGCCACCTTTCGCCTCCGCCTGGGCTAAGGCTTCTTGTGGCCTGAAGAGAAAGTTCATCCACAGAGACGGCCTTTTCACATAAGATCGGGTTGAACATGCCACCCTGGGTCTCCTGTCCTGATCTACCTCTCAGAACTGTGACAGACTGGGCTCTGCCCTCATTTTCTCTTTATCGTTGCTTCTGTGTTCAGGGGCAACCCACAGCCCAGCATTGGGTGGTTAGGGCAGGCGCCAGTGAGTTGTAGGAGAGAAGGCCCTTGGTCAGAGTGGGCGGTGCCAGGCTCTGCTTTGGGTTGTGCGTGTCCACCTAGTCGGGTGCAGGCTCAAGCACCCATTCTTTCCCCTGAATGGGATGGAGGAGAAGCAGGGGAGCCTGAGTGGGTAATAGCCCAGCATCAGGGTCACAGTAGTCAAGAGCTGGCTCTCAGGGAGTCCTGTGGTTGTGTAAGGGCTACGTGTCCTGGTGTGACAGGCAGGAACAGAGCGCTGCCAGGAGGAGGGGGCTGGGGACCGCGAGTTAGCAGTGGGGTGGAGGAGTAGCAGGAATCGCTGCTTTCTGTGACGGCTCCACTCTTAGTGCTCCCTGACCCTCACGCCCTGGCCAGGCGCTGCAGTGTGGCAGGAAGGACTCGTGAAGACTGTCATGACCGGAGCTCATGGGACACTTCAGGTACCAAAACCCCATCTCAGACTGGGCACTTGGTCTGTGTGTTGATTTGTGGAATGGTGGCAGAGGCCACCCTACTTGACTCCTCTTTGGTTCCTGCACTCTGTACACCACTGTCCCGAAGAGCTGCTTCCCATCATGGGGGCGTTAGATTGGGCATATTTCCTTTCCCTGGAAAGAAAGTGAAGCCTCCAGCTTGCGGTGGGCAACTCGAGAAAGCTTTCGTCATCGTTCCTACAGTCAGCCCTGAAGCTTCGCCTTGGTCATCCTTCCACAGAAGTACTCACTTCCTGGTGCGGGGACTAGGGAGATGCACACTGAGTTAGGAGGCACCGTGGCTGCTCATTAGCCTTCACTGCAGCTGCGACTATTAGAGAAAAATTTATGATCGTCTCTAGAGATGCTGAAACGATATTCGGTAAAATTGAAAATCTATCCCTTATTAAGCTCTTAGTAAGTTAAGATTTCAAAGAAACATCCTAACCTAGACAAAGGTGTCTCTATCTGAAGCCAACAGTCAGTGGCCTTCTAAAGAGTCATATACCACCGGCATTCCCAGTAAAGTCAGAAATTAGTCAAGGACATACTGTTATTTAGCTGTGTTCTGGCACTACTAAACCCCTGCAGTGTGGCAGATAAGAGAGATGAGGGAGGGTTACAGAACGCCCGACCTGTACAATCCAACAGGATCAGCTGAAGACCTTAACCGAGCAAACAAGGCACATCACGTTTCTATAAAGATTCTGGTTCTCTCCAGATCAGCTCATACATTCAATGTATTCCAGTAAGATTGGATACTTTTTGGAATTTAATGGGTTCCAACGTTCATTTGGAAGAGTAAATGTGTGAGAATACCAAGAAAATTCTGAATGACGGTGAGTCCGGGACGGTGGTGCTCAGGTGGGTAAAAGACACTTGTCCTACGAGATTTCCCAGGGGACTCTCGACCGACCATGAGTTCAGTCAGAGTGACCTGGAGTGGGATCAGACTGCTGGACCCAAAGGGAGAGCCTAGCATCAGACCCAGGTGTGAGGGGATTTGGTACAGGACCCAAGGAGTATTTTAAGTGGGAAAAAGATGGACTATTTAATAAAGAGTACTTTAAGATAACTGCCTATCTATTAAAGTAAGAGTTCTCTACCTCACAGTTTCCACAAAAATTAGCTCTAGAGAGAAAAAACAAAAAAATTACAGAATTACTGAGGAAAATATAGGATATTTTTATACCTTCGGTGTGGGAAGGTCTTTTCTAAACAACATGAAACCTAAAAGATATAATAAGGGAGAAGATAAACAGATTTTACCACCAAAAATATATTGAAAGTTTGCATATGATGGAAACCACCAAGGTTAAAACACAAATGACAGATTTGGGAGAAAATATTTGCAGCGCTTCAAAAATTGGTGAGTACAGTTACTTTAGGAGAATAGCTTGCTTTGGGCTCCTTGGAGCAAGTCACTGGGGCCTGCTAAGCAGCAACCTAAAGATTCAGCAGTGACCAGCTGAGTTCTTCCAGGTCATCCAAGGGCGTTGCTGCCAGCAGCAGGCCAGGGCGCATGGAATCCTGTCTACATCATAGTGAAAGAATGAAGTTCATCAGTGTGAAGTGCTTAGCACAGTGCCTGGTACATATAAGAGCTCAGTAAATATGAAGTATAATCATATTAGTAAAGGATTCTAAGCGGTTACACTATAGCAGGCGTTATTTGCAAGTATAATGTAATTTGTAATCAAATGATAAGGGAGAATCTGTGAACCCCCGAGGAAATTAGCAGAATAAAGGCTGTTCTCTCTGGAGGTCTTAGATGTGCAGTGAAGTTATTCATCTGCCAGGAACTGAAATGTTTACTCCTACACACTGGCCTTTTAGAACTCCATAAGGCAGCATTGCTCAAGGTGTGGTCCAGAATCACCAGAATTCCTTGTTGAAAGTCCAGCTTCCTGGCCTGCCCTGACTGGGGCTCCTCCTTCAGCCCGCAGGCTGAAATGGGCATCTGTGCGGCAGAGCCACGGATCCCAGAGACCGACCTGTAACAAGAGCAAAAACCAAAACCCTTCCTTAGTGCACGAGAGGAGAGACGGATTCCTTAGCAGAACGTATTGGACCAGTCTCTGGGAGGAGGGGCCAAAGAATCTGCATTCTTAACAAGCTCCCAGGTGAGTCTTCTGCACATGTAATTTGGAAAGGGGCCTACTATTTTAAGGCTAGCGGCAACCCTTTCCCACGGGGCTCTGGCCCTGAGGCCTCACAGTTCTGAGGGTTACATCAAAACCGGAACCGGATCCCTTATATGTACTTGAGAAAGTGTTTGCAGTTCAGGAAAGTGGATTACTTGTGCTTGATTGAAATTTTTTGAATATACTTTTCAGCTTCCATTTCTTAAAGGACACTCAGTTTTACAGTTATTTAGATCCCATTTGTTGCAAGTATTATTGTCTTATGAACTCTGATAACTTGTACCATCTCCATTCTGACAGACTTCCCTTTATGGTATCAAGTAGGAAAAATGCACCTTTCCAGTTCAAAAATGTTTAAAAATTAAATTATGTGTATATGTAATTCAGTTTATAAAATGTGATGTGCAGAAAACTACAGCCTTTGTAGAGACCATAGGCTAAAGTGTTGGTCTGTTTCTTAGATCAATGCCTGGAGTTAAGAATATAAGTAAATTAACCTATAAACCATACTCTGGAATTGGAAAGAACTTAAAAATCATTGTGTCAATGTAATTTGATAATCTGACACACACAACTTCTAATAAGCTATTTTTGAGTGTTTCTTAAAAAAAAAAAAAAAATCAACCAGGGACCTTAGGAGTAAGGGAGAACTCAGGCGGAAAGAGTGAGCCCAGGGGGCAGACACCCTTTGCCCCAACAGGGCCTGCTTTCAATGCAAGATCCTCTGTTAAGTAATATGGAATTTCTCTTCAATTACAAACATGTATGATGTTAGTTCTAGAAGGGCACACAGAGGCCATTTAGTCCAACCCTCTCATTTTACTAATGAGGAACTGAGACCCACAGAGGTTACATGAACTCACCTATGTCAGTGGCAAAGCCAATTAAATGTTCTTTCCAGTATGCAATATCGATACCAGGTTATTGAACAAATCAATTTTCAGTGACATAAAACACATTAAAAAAAAAAAAAAGGAACCAGGACATAACAGAAGCAACTTCAGCCACTGGAAATGGATAGGATTCTGTTCCTCTCTGCAACTCTCCATCCATAGAATCATACTGTTTCCATGAAGAAGGGAGGGCTGTATGGCCAGCTGGAACCATGAAGAGAAAGGCAGACTCAAACTGTAAGAGCTGAGTCCCCCCAAGCAGGGTGGGCCAGGCCCACACAGTGCTCTGATTTGGCTTGCCTAGGGGATGGGTATAAGCTGTGTGGAGAGAGTGGCATCTTTACCTGAAATTGACCTTACCACACTCTCTTGTCACTGTGGTTAGCTAATGACACTCATGCCCTCACAGAGAAAGGAAATCATAGTCTGGGTGGTAGGAATGAGGCTAACCATCCAAAAGAGATCTCTGAACTAAATTTTGTTTCTCCCTAACAAAAATGCGTACAAACACTTCAAGGAGCAATTCTCGTAGGGGAAAAAAAAAAAAATAGATGAGAGACCAGATCCTTCACAGCAAACCTCAATTTTACTTAGGGTCAGTGGGAAATCTGATTTGATCATAATAGTTGCCAGGACCAAGTGCTGCAGAGTGTCCATCCATTTTGGCTCCTGACTTAGACCTCCCTAGTTGAGAATAAATCTGGAAGGAAAGAACTCTGAAATTAGGTAGCCTAGGCACAGGAAGCCTATGTGGGGTTGGGGATGAGGCCTCCTTGGCATTTGGAACATGACAGGGATGAAGATGTAAGACACAGCATTGGGTGTGGAGGCCTGAGAAGCTCAGTGGGGGAAAGACAGGTTTTCTTGTCAGAATGCCTGGGGACTTGCATTCAAACTAGATGAGTAAGCACACCTGTACTGCTGCCCCCTCAACTCCTAATGCCTAAGAATGCTAAACAAAATATGAAACATGGAAAAGCAAGGGACTTCCCTGGTGGTCCAGTGGTTAAGACTCCGTGCTCCCAATGCAGGGGGCCTGGGTTTGATCCCTGGTTGGGGAACTGGATCCCAATCGCATGCCGCAACTAAGACCCGGAGCGGCCAAAATAAATATATATATATATATTTTAATGTAAAAACATGGTCATACTCAAAACAAGAGGAAATCTCCTTTGACTAAGAATGGAGAGAACAGCTACAGCCATGAACAGAAGACGAGGCCATGCAGCTCCAGAGAAATGGAGACCAGTTGAGGACAGATCCTCGGAGTGGCCAGGAATCTCTTTGTTGTCATTCTAATTCTAGGCTGGAAGTAAACCTTTTGATTCCCAGCCCAGCAAAAGCCAAACTAAGCATACAATTGTGAAGCCCCCTATAATCAGCGAGTTAGGGTAGTAAGGTATTAACATTAATTTCCTGATGTTGATGGTTGTAGTTTGGTTTATGCAGGAGAATTTCTTTGTCCAAATACTAAAGTACTTAGGGGTGATAGGCCATCAGGTCAGCAAGTTAATCTCAAATGGTTCAGGTGAAAAAGTTACTTATGTTGTACTTCCAACTTTTCCAAAAGTCTCTGATTATTTTTAAAAATTATTGAATAAAAAAAAATCCACTCTATTGGCTCAGATCAAACAGGTAATCTAGGGAGGCCAGACTCATAATCCAGATCCACTAGCCTCTTCAGACTTGATCTTTACTATGTCCAGCGTGGTTGGAGCTAACCTCAATTGTGGTCATTTTTGTCTGGTTAAAAAGGCCCAGCAGTGTGGCAAAAAGAGAGAGGGATTCTGGTCTTGTTGATCATTAACAAGTCTTCTCACCTCCGAGAGCTTCATATTTCATCTCAGTAAAATGAGAATAATCCCTACCCTGCCTATCTCATCTGGTTATTATAAAGAACAGATGAGGTAACACCTGTGAAAAGGTTTTGTAAAACATCAAGCACCTCGTGACCACGAAGTGGCCTTTGACCTAACAACCTCCTCATCCTCACAGATGTACCCTTTTCAAGTGGGCTAATAGGCCTCAGCTGCTCAGCACCGACCAAAAAACCGATCAGTTGGGGATCCCTTCAGGCGGACACCTTGAAAAGCTCCGCCCCCTCGCCCAGATCCCGCCCACCGCCGGGCTCCAAGGGTGGGTCAGTTCCCGGGCCACTTCCCGAAGCGCCCGGAAGTTCCTGTCGCTTAGCAACCAAAGGAACCCGAGATGTGATGAAGGGGAAACTGGGGGTGGGATGCAAACTTCGGCAAGTTTCCGTTGCAACCCGGGGTTTGAGGGACCCGCGGTCCCCCACCGGCCCTATCGTGTTGCTTCTGGGGACTCTCCCGTGCTCAGCAAGAGCTGCCAGTAAGCAGGTTGGCACTCCTTTCCAGTGTATCTGTCAACCCATCCAACTTTCTTAATGAGGAAGCCTACCAATTTTTGAATACCTGTGTGTCAGGCACGTCACATAATCCAGCCCTGATAATTACACAACCTATCTTACTGATAAGGAAGCCAGTCTCCGAGGGGTTGAGGCCCTCAACCTGAGGGATCTGTCCCAGGGGCACACAGTTGGAACCCTGCCCTACTGAAGGGCAGGTATCCCCCCTCCCCCCATCGGTTCCCCAATGGGAAGGCTGGAGAAGGAGTAGCAGCAACTCAAACCTTTATCCAAATGTTTTATTTTGCATAATGACTTTTGAACTAGCGTTTATATATAAGCCCAAGTCCCTGAGGGGCCAGAGATCCCACCATGCAATCAGACCCAAGGCCTGGAGAAGGGCAGTGAATGCATTAGAAATGGGTGGGGCGCATCATCCCACAATCTGGGGCTCAGCTTAGTTGGCAGATCTTCAGAGTGAGAAAGGACACGTGTATTTGGTCTCTAATACCTGGGCTGAGTGAACCAGGGAGGAAGCTCGGGAGGCACCGAAAGGCTGAAGTATGAATCTTCTCTGGCCTGGGTAAGGATGGAGTCTGTGCCACTGGATGGCTCCAAATACTGCTCAGAGTGTCAGCCCCCGCTCCTTAAACAGCTGCTTTAGAGCGTCTTCCAGCTGTTGGTTTGTCCCCTGAAGCCCCTTCACCACCTGTGCTGCCCACTCGAAGTATTCCTGGACTCGGTGTTCGGACCATCCTGCATAAGAATGGACAGAAAACTGCTCACGTTGACGTCCAGGAAGGCACTGGATTTTGCCCACTTCCTGGAGGGCTTGGTGCAGGGCTGTGAGATGAGTTCCTGATGGACGGATTTGTTCTGAAAACTTCCCCCTTGCCCAGGTACTGCATTTCTAGTGTATAAAAGAAGATCAGAGTGGTCTACTAAGATTAGTCTAGGGAATTAACAAGAACACCCGGGCTTTTTTTCAGGGGAAGTGACCACGCTGTGCCTTCAGAGGTGGATACCCCTCCCCTTCCCCTCAGAGCAGGTGGAGGAGCATACCCTCTGGGGTGCAGCGATTCAGGTCCCTCAGATTGTACAGTTTGTCTGCCAGCTTCACCAGTTTAGCCCCGGGGCTGCTGTGGGGTGCCTGCTCCACCTGCAGCCGCTTTCTCTCCAGCTTGGGCAGAGTCTTGTCATCTGTTACCTCCTCCACCAGACGCCGCACTTGTGCCCCGAAGTGCAGCTCCACCTCATCCAGGGTGGTGTCTGTGTCCTCCACCGTGTCATGGAGCAGGGCTGCCTGGGGACAGGCTCTCACTCAGTCCTCTGACGCCTGCCAAGGGGAACCCAGAGCTGAATGGGGCCCCTGACCCGCACCCCAGCCTCCTAGCAGAGGAGGAAAGTTACCTGTAACACCACAATGTCAGAGATTCCTGCCTCGTGGGTCAGGATACGAGCCACACCTGACGGGGCAAAGCAGGAAGTCAGACAGAAGGGAGTCCCAGGGCGGCGTGTTGTGGGTTTTGTAGAGCCAGATGTGGCCCCTCACTAGCTGGGTGACCTTGGGGAAGTCCTTTACTCTTTTTTGGATGTTCACTGTACAAAGGGAACAATCATGCCTACCGCCCCAGGTTGTGGTGCGTCACGAACAGTGCCTGGCACAAGGACTGGTACGGACTAGGTGCTCGATGAGGTGCACGCCCTCCGGTTCCCTTCCCGGTCCCCACCCCCTAGATGCTACAGCCGTTGCTCCCCCGGCGGCGCGCCCACCGATAGGGTGATTGATGTAGGGGGTCCCTTCGGGGTCCTTCCGCCGCTGCCATTGGTGCTTGCGAGCCGCGAAGTCAGCCGCCTCCAACAGCTGGGCCGCCTCGGAGCCCATCGCGCCGTTGGGGCGGGCGACCTCGGTCCCAGGATCCCGGGGAGCGTGGACCGAGCTTCCACAGCGCCCCCTAGCGCCGCGGAGGCCTGAGGATTGTGGAGTCTGGCCCAGAAGAGTTTCTCTGGGGTTGATGTGAGGGCCCTGGGTGTGGGAAGCTGCCCTCAATATCGCAGCCCCTGGTTAAGTGGGCTTTGCTGAGGGTGCAAGAAGAATATGGCCTGGCTCTGGGAACCCACATCCTGGCGGAAGGAGGAAAATACACAAGACATAAGACAGCAGCCTCACAGTGTGTCCAGGGCAGGAAGGCACAGGGGACTGGTAACTTGGAGGAAGGGCAATTCACCTAGCCTCTGGACCAGAGACAGCTTCTCCCAGGAGAGTCCTCTCCCGCCATGGCAAAACAATTTTCAAGCTGTCAATGCTCTGAAAATTCTCAAAGTGCTCTAAAAATAGTTCTTGTGCTTCCCTGGTGGCCGCAGTGGTTAAGAATCTGCCTGCCAATGCAGGGGACATGGGTTCGAGCCCTGGTCCGGGAAGATCCCACATGCCGCGGAGCAACTAAGCCCATGTGCCACAGCTGCTGAGCCTGCACTCTAGAGTCTGCGAGCCACAACAACTGAGCCTGCGTGCTACAACTACTGAAGCCTGCATTCCTAGAGCCCGTGCTCCGGAACAAGAGAAGCCACCCCAATGAGAAGCCCATGCACCGCAACAAAGAGTAGCCCCCGCTCGCTGCAACTAAAGAAAGCCCGCGCACAGCAACGAAGATCCAACGCAGTCAAAAATAAAATAAAATAAAATAAATAAATTTATAAAAATAGTTCTCCCTGCAAGAATGGCCTGGTTGCTATGGGCATGGGAGCCTCACCTTTGGGGCCAAAAGACCCTACTGCTTAACCTTCTGGAAATTGGAGCCTGCACTGGGAGCCCTCCCTAACTGTTTCAGACTTAGGCTCCCAGGCAGCAGTGTTGTTTCTGCAGGAACTGTCTTCTTTGCTGTCAGGCGCTGGGAACAAAATCTGCATTTCTTTCTTGTGCCGTGAGGGTTCCTTCTTCAGTTCCCAGGCACTGCTGTGGGCCCCTTATGAGTGTTGTCACTGCTGTTCTGGGAGCATGACGTTGTTAGGCCTCAGTAGACACTGGAACAACACAACACTGCTGGCTGGTGGCCTCTGGCCTTTTCGAGAAATTCCCTGTCTCAGCAGACAGCATCTATGAAGTATGAGGTTTGGTAAGAGAGACCTGGAGACCCTGGAAGAGATTTTCTTGTGAAATGGGTTTGGCTGGTTGCTAAGTATACTCCAGTCAGATTGGTAGATTTTATACTTTGGTTGGTAGCTGGGGTCAATGAGGGCTCAGGGGAAAAGTTAATGAGAGCACTCACGCTTGCTTTTCAGCTAGTCTTGGTGGTTGCCATGATGCAGAAGTTAGAGAGGGAAGCTCCAAACGCTGGAACTGAGGTCTCTGGGGCCTGAAGTGGAACAATCAGAATTCCCATGGCTTCCATGCAGCCTGAAAGTTTAGAGTGTATAGAGAGAAACATATTTGGTTCTTAATGCTTGTCTGTTCTTCAGGCTAGTGGCTCAACTTCTCTCTCATTCCTCATTCAGTGTTCTAGCCTTCTGAGCCTTTTCCCCTTCAGCTTAGAGAAACTTAGGCAGCTTGGAGCCACAATCCTCCCATTTTCCAATAGAAGATAGAAACTCAGTCACTTTCAGCTCTCTCTAGAGGTCTGCGACAGAGAAGCTTCAGGTTTGTGTTTACGGTGCTTTGGGGCTTTGATTTTATTTCCTTACTGCCTGCAGCCATGGCTTAGAAATAGAGATGTTGGGATTTCTAGGACCAGGGCTGAGGTGGAGGTGACCTCTCATGGGCTTCCAGAGGAGGCCAGGCCCTTTGCTGACAGGCCTGTCTGTGGGGCTACTGCTGCTCTTCAGCTGGATGACGCTTGCCCAGCCGACCTCTCTCTCAGGTACAGCACTCTTCTCTGCCCAGCCCGCCGTCCAGTACCCTACTCTTTTAGCAAGGTATAGGCTACTCTGGGGAGCTTGTGTGGAGGAAGGAAGCCTGCCCTTCTGATAATGGTTGATCCCTTTTATTTTCCAAAAGGGGTGGAGTGGGGTGTGGGTAGATCATTCCTGCCTGTCTCCAGCCCTCTTGCCCCTCCTTTCAGCTTTGGCCCACCATCCCCACTTGTGCCAGACCGCCTGGGATGCTGATGGCCGTCGCTACCCCGGTTTCTTCTGTCCTCGGCTCTCTGATACCCCAGAGGAAGCCTACTGCTGCCACCTGCAGGCTGCAGGGGGCTCCTGCTGCACTCGGTCTGAATTTGAGGCCTTGCACCAGGTCAATCTCTCTGCCCTTCCGCCTCCTCCCGTCTTCAGGTGAGAACTCCAGCCCCAGAGCCACTGGCACACTGACGGCGTGTTCCAGTACCTGAGGCTCTGTTCCTAATTTCTGGAGTGGGAGGCTTGTAGCTTACAGACCAGTGGAGGGACAGATCTCAAACATAAAATCGCGTAAATACATGATTACAAACAAATCTGCGAAGGAAAAGTTCAGGGGGCTGTGAAAGCAGGTGACAGGGAGTCATTGTAGGTGTTGTGTGGTGGGTGGGGTGGGACGGGTGTCAATACTGAGAGGATCTTGTATTCTGGATTACACGTTATAGTCGGGGTTTTCAATCCTGAATCTGTCCACAGATGGCTTCTGGGTACCTGTGAGCTCCCTGAATTTGTATTTTCAAATTCTACACTTTTCCGGGTAGGGAGTTCTGGGCTTTCTCCTGACTCTCAGGGGCTCTAACCCACAGGCTGCAGTAGCAAGAGCGCGGCTTGGGCCAGCATCCTGATACTCTCCCCTCTCCCATAGGGGCCCGGGCCCGCTTCTAGCACTGGGCCTTTACAGACTGCTGCTCGTGGCCCTGATGACTGCAGACCTCGTGCATTTCTGCCGCGGTCGGGTCCGGGGCCGAGATCTGGGCCGGGACCAGGGCCGGGACCAGACCTGAGCAGCCACGGGCGCCCCTCTCGCCCTCCGCCGCGCGCCCCCTGCCGGTCTCAGCGGGAACAGACTAAGCGCGCCTGGGGCTTCTCTGCGCCTGCGGACCCGGGCCGAGCGTCCTGCGCCTCTTCCCGGCGTCCTCTCCCCTTGGCCCCGCCCCTTCTCTACCACCGCCTCTGACGCAAGACTGGGGCGGGGCAGCCGACAGCGGATTCCTGAGCCTAGACCCACCCCTCTCCGGAGACTGCGCCTGCGCGCGCTCGGGACGTCTGCTGCGCGATGACCGTGAGTGGTCCAGGGACCCCCGAGCCCCGGCCCGCCGACCCCGGGGTGCGTACCCATCTCCCTGCGCCATCACCGCTTCGCACCTGCTCTGACCATTCTCGGGCCTCCTTCTCCCTCAATCTTGGCCCTCCATGGGACCCACCCGCGACCCCCAGGCTCCTCTGCCCCTAGCTCCCCGGCTCACCCTGAGCCCACCTCGGACGTTTCCACCCCTTCCCTCCACAGGCCAGCTCAGTGGAACAGTTGAGGAAGGATGGCAACGAGCTGTTCAAATGCGGGGACTACGAAGGCGCCTTGACGGCCTACACCCAAGCCCTGGGTCTGGGCGCAACGCCCCAGGACCAGGCCATTCTGCACCGGAACCGGGCCGCCTGCCACCTCAAGCTGGTGAGCGAGCCGGCTGCTCTTCCCCTAGCCAGCCCGGACCCCTGTTGGCGCACCTCGCCGCTGCTTGAGCCCCGACTGGACATTCACCTTCTCAGGCCACCCACACTTGTTACACGTCTTTTGGGTCTCTAGGTGGTGGGGGAACCTGGTGACTAAGGAAAACAACTTCGTTGCCCAGTTGTGCCCGAGAAAGGAGATGACCAGCCTCTCAGGCCTGTTCTTCTCTTACAGGAAGATTACGACAAAGCAGAAACCGAGGCATCCAAAGGTAGGGGAATGTGGCCCTTGTGTGGAGCTGTGGGACTTCTGGGGTGGGCAAGGATTCTGGGACCACTGCACCGTCACTTTCTCCTCCTCCTTTCACCCCTGAAACACATCTGCCTTTTTTCTTTCCCACTTCCTGGGGCATTTCCTTTTCCGCAGCTACCCTCACCTTTTCTGAGGCTGAAGTACTGAGCCCCACATCCGTCCCCCCACCTTCCTCTGCCCCTCGAGATCTTTCCCTGCTGCTCTTGCCTGGAGATGGTGGCCTCATGGGTGCTGACAGAGCTCCTGTTTGTGCTCAGCCATTGAAAAGGACGGTGGGGATGTCAAAGCACTTTACCGGCGGAGCCAAGCCCTAGAGAAGCTAGGCCGCCTCGACCAGGCCGTCCTTGACCTGCAGAGATGTGTGAGCCTGGAGCCCAAGAACAAAGTTTTCCAGGAGGCCCTGCGGAACATCGCGGGCCAGATTCAGGAGAAGGTGTGTGAGTAATTGAGAGAGCGAGGCATTGACCAGTGGTAGAGGGGCACTGATAAATGGATCCGGATCACGTGTGTAAACACAGTTCTCTGGAAGGGGGATGCTGATGGCAAATGACCTTATAGAATGATGTTCAACCTTGCCAGCGGTTACATAAAAGCAAATTAAAAGAACAGCAAGGTGCTGTTCTTTTTGGTGGTCTGTTTGGCAAACATTTAAAGTTTGTACACATTGCTAGAAGGAGGGAGACACATTTAAGGGGTGAGGTTGCGGGAGGACGTGGACTCGTTCATGACTGCTGGAGGGGGTATAAATTGGTACAGCTCCTTTGCAGAGTCCTTTAGCATATCTTTGGAGTATAATTGCTTTACAGTGTTGTGTTAGTTTATGCTTTATAACAAAGTGAATCAATTATACATATACATATATTCCCATATCTCTTCCCTCTTGCATCTCCCTAGCATATTTCTTAAAATTTTAAATGAGCATGTCCTGTGATTCAGTATGTTTACTTCTTGCTATCTCCCCTAGAGAAGCCTTGCCTGTGTACACAAGCAGGTGTGTGTTTGTTTGTTTCAGCCTTGTTTGTAGTAATGAAAAATTGGAACTTGCTTAAATGCCCAGCAGTAGGGGAATGGCTAAATAAACTGAGTGACATCCTTACTACAGACTCCTATGCAGTAGTTGCTAAGAATAGGCATATCAACACATATGGACGTGGAAAGCTGACACTTGTTAAGTGAAAAAAAAGCAAAACATATAATAACCTATAGTATAATACCGTTTATGTTAAAATGATCCCCCCCCCCACCAAATGCACTCAAAATTATACCATGTTTTTTCCACGGGTACAGTTGGGTATGTAAACACAAAGAAAAATATTTTAAAAGACGTGCATCAAAATGAAGACTGTGACTGCTAGGG